CCCCTTAATGAGAAGGGAAAAAGCCTTAATTGCAATACATATTTTGAAACATTTATTCATTTGCTTTCCCAACACATCTCCACAAAACCTTTCAAATATTTGTAAGCATTTTAACTCAGCACCCCAGTGAAATAACCTCGTTGCTCGAGCAAAGTGAGCATCACATTGGTAATTTAGAAGTTGCCCGCCCTAATGTGATGGGGGACTATGGCACTTGCATACCCTTCATTGGGAAAAATTTGATGTTGCGTCGCTTATGGTTGTGGTGGTGGTGGAGGTGGGGGCACATTGTCTTATTGCCCACGGCCTCAGCAGATTTATTATGGAACTTGTGGCATTTCTTTAAGTTGTTCCTCTTCGCCATCCACCTCTCCCAATGGTGTGTTTCCAAGCTCGTTGTTCGCCATTTGGAACCTACAAGCACTTCAAGAAGTTAAAATCACGAAAGTAAAAGAATATACTTCAAGAAACAAACTCAAGTATATAGCTAACACTGTAAACTCCCCTGCAACGGCGCCAAAAATTGATCACGTCCAATTAACACCCCAATTAAGGGAATATGAAACGGTCATTACAATAATATACCCAACGCGAGTCGGGATCGAATCCACAAGAGGTTTAAATTGCGTGTTAAGGTAAATACTCAAGAGAGAAACTTGAAATAACTAGATTTGACTTCCAAACAAAAGTGTGTATCAATTTTGCTAAATTAAACTACCAATGATTTTGACTAAGCTAGCAAACAAGTATTAATTGAAATATTTTTGAAGTTTTGTCAAATAGAGAAAACCTAGGGTTGTAACTTTAACCTAGGTGTAAACCTAATGGGTAGAGCAAATATATGTTTGCTTGGAAGATCAGGTTTTGTTATGACTTTCAATACACAAGTACTCACCCAATACCTCTAGGTAAAGAATGATTATGCCCACATCTCTCAAGTCCAAATGGGTAGCAATGGAAGTAATTGAATATGAGTCCAAGTTAGATTATCCCTATCTCTAGTTCAAATTCTTTAATTAAACTAATCGATACTTCAACTAGTTCAATTTCTTGTTAGCCAAGTTTTTTTAGACTAAATTTCTCATTCTCAAGTAAGAAAAAAGTCAAATAGGCATGAATCAATGTTTGCAATCATTAATTCTAACTTTAAAGCATAAACAAAACTAAATAACAATAACTCAATCAATAGCAAGAATTAATATTAAACACCCATAAGTTTTAGACATTAGGGTTGGATCACAACCCTAGATAAACATCTAGCTACTCATGGCAATGAACATAGAAAGATAAAAGGAAGAAGATATTAAAGTCATAAAGCTAAAATAAAATGGAAAATAATTGATCATCTCTAATTATAGCTCAAAGTTTTCCCAAATAGCTAAGAAAAACTATAAGTTGCTGCTACAATACAAAAAGACCCCTAAAAGTGATACATGCCTATTTAAAGTGCTCCGAAATTTCTGACAAAAATACCATTCGGAGGGCTCTACAGCCGCACTTGAACTTCTGCGGTACGCACTTTGGTGGGTTAATGTTGGGGGTGCTTTCAGTTGGAGGATTTTTGCTGCCGCACTTTAGCTTCTGGGGCCTCACATGAATTTTTGTGGGCCACATTTGAGGAGGCTTCAGACTTATTCGATTGCACATTCTCTAATATTTCAGGCTTTGTCAGTGCGAACTTGTTTTCCGAACCAAGTGCGATCACACATTTTTAGTCAACGGACCGTACTTCTGCCAAAAATTCCTGAAGCTCCAGTTCTTCTGCGGCCGCATTTCATCTTCAGCAGACCACACTAGCTTTTGCGACTGTAGATGGAATTATGCGGACTGCACCTTTCTTAGCATTTCTCCTCTTTGCTGAACTTGGCTAGATCACCTCCTTTTCGAGTTATTTTTCTTCATTTAGATCACATTCTCCAGCACACCTGCAATTCAACTATTTCCATTAGATTCGGAGACAAAAATTATTACTTTCAGACTAAAAACTAAAGCAAGAAGATACTAATATGTGGTTAAAATCCACACTTATCAGGTTTTGGGTAGAAATTTAGGATTTTGTATTTTAGAGATTTAGACCTCGATTTGAGGTCGGATCTCGAAACAAATTACATATTTGGACTCGGGGTGAATGGGTAGTCGAGATTTAGTCTTAATTTTGGATTTCGACCATGTGGGCCCGGATTGATTTTTTGTTGACTTTTTCAAATATGATAAAGGTCGAATATTTTTGGTACTAGGGTAGTTCCTAAAGCTTGTTTTGACGTATTTGAGTAATATTTGACTAGATACTGATAGTTTGGAGGCTTGTTCAAAAGAAAAAGTTGTGTTGGATTGTTGAATTATGTCGGAAAAAAGTAAGTGTCTTGGTTAATCTTGATTTGAGGGAATTAAGATATAATTATTTCTAATTGCTATGTGCTCTATGTGTTGGGGTTGTGTATATACAAGGTGACGAGTGTATATGCATTTGCCATGGGTTAAGCATGTGGGTAGAACTAGCTTTATTTATGCCATGTTGCTTTATGTGTTATATCTTCCATGCTCAAAATGGATTGTGAAACTCTTTGATTTGTTCTTATTCATGTTAATAACTATGTGATCTTGTTGAGTGATTAGGCGTTAAATTATTGAAATATTGATTTGGCTACTGCTACAAAAGTGATGGTAAATTCTCAAATGGCAAGCTATGTTCATTCGCTCTTCTTGATATTGTTTGTGCTTCCCGCCTTGTTTGGTATTGTCTTACATGTTTATTCTTGGTGAGGAAGAGTGAGTTGAACGAAGGATGCTATCGTGCTTGTCAGGAAGGTTGATTGTACACGAAGGGTATTTCTGTGCTTTTTTATATATTAATATCATTGCATGAAGGGTGTTACCGTGCTCGAGAGTAAGAGAGAATATGCATGATGGGTGTTTTCGAGCTTGTGATTATATTGTGTGTGTAAGAATGAGAGTAAAAGTACGAAGGGTGATGCCGTGTCATTTGTTGATATTGCTTGTTCTTTATTTTACTATATAGATTAAGGACTTGGTTATGTTGTTTCGTGGTTATTTCGGAATGCTTGTTCGAGGTGCTTGTAGAAGCATAAATTGTTGTTTACATTAGTCGTATCTTTTCTTATTTTCTCGTTCTATACCTCATTACTTTTATTCTTGTTACTCTCTCACATGCTATTTATCTTGTCATCTTACTTGCTATTTTACTTGTTATCTTGTCTCGTTATTTCTCGTTACTTAATTATACATGCTTATATGTAAGTGTCTTGTCTTGGCCTCGTCGGGGTTAGGATCGATACTTACAGAGTACATTGGGTTGGTTTTACTTATACTATATTTTTTTACTTCTTGTGCAGATTTTGGTGCTGATTCTGGTGGTACTCATAGAGCAGACTAGCTAGCTGGCGGAGGAGACCGAAGGTAGTGCTGCACTCTCGTTCTCATAGTCTCCTGTCTCATAATCATATTAATATTTATTTATTTCGAACAGTGTAATGTTATTCCAAACTTTGTATTTTGTTAAATCTGTAGACGCTTATGTACTCAGTGACTCCAGTTTTTGGGAGATGTTAGATGGTTGGAGGTTTCAGACATGATCTAATTCTTCTTAATTCTATCTTTTATTTATAGTATCATGTCATTACGTTTCACATTGCCTTTATTATTGTTATTTGTTGGCTTGCCTAGCAAATATCGTTAGGCGCCATCACGATCCCTTTTGGTTGGAAATGTGGGTCGTGACATTGTTCTTGTTTGAGTTGTTCCTCTTTTGCGGTGGCTTTCTCGTTGCGTTTTATTTCTTGCGATCTTCGTAGTTGTAGACGTTCTATTGGTTTCATGGGAGAATGTTTGACATGCCCTCCCATTATAAGCTTGATTTTGGTTTAGATCTCTCAATAACTACAATTGTGGCTAATGAGTTTGGGGAACTTTCCCTCCCACAATTTTGGTTTAAAATTTGTGAATTTCGATTGAAGAAAAGAAAAACTCAAAGAACCTATTGTTGAACAAGAAAGGCTGAAGGGATGGGTCGGGTAACGGGTAGGATTATGAGTAGAATTTTTAATTAAACCGAGTAGATTAATAGCCTGTTTGGCCAAGCTTATTTTTGGGCCAAAAGTGCTTTTGGCCAAAAATTGAGGTGTTTGGCCAAACTTTTGGAAGGAAAAAAAGTGCTTTTGAGGAAAAGCAGAAGCAATTTTTGAGAAGCAGAAAAAAGTAGTTTCTCTCCAAAAACACTTTTCTGAGAAGCACTTTTCTGAAAAATACACTTAGAAACAGTTTTTAAAAACTTGGCCAAACACTAATTACTGCTCAAAAGTACTTTTCAAATTAATTAGCCAAACACAAACCGCTTCTCACCAAAAATATTTTTTTTAAAAGTATTTTTGAGAAAAGCACGTTTCAAAATAAGCTGATTTTAGAAGTTTGGCCAAACAGGCTATAAATTAGGGGTGAGTCTTTTTAATAAGGAGGTTCCACGTGGCCCTCCGTAAAAAATAAGGATAAATCTGATCCATAGCATAATAGCAGGGTCTGAATTAACTAAATAGTAAAATAATGGGTAAGTTTAAATAATTTTTGATAGTAGAGAGGTATATTTGGCCCTTTTCCGAATTTGAAGTTATCAAACCCTGGACTAGATTTCTCATTCTCATATTTGCAAAGGCTCAAGTCTAATATGTACTTATATTAGGACCAAAATGGTAAAGAACTTTAAATAAAGTTTCTAACATATCATCAAACCAGTTTCTCTCTCTGTGATCTCTGTTGTGCTCTCGTCAGTCGATCTCCGAGGTCAGCTCTTCCTCCTTCCATTTTCTAAGCTTCAACTACTAATCCCATTAGTATCTGAAAATTGTTTTCAATTTAACTCTGTCCAAAGATCGGAACTACATAATAGAGCTTTTAAATTCTTGATTTTATGCTTCTATTTGAATTTAGTTATCTGATTTAGTTTTTAAAGTCGTCTTCTCTATATACCTCAGATGCAAAAGGAACAATAGTAAATTCTATATATCTTCAATGGAAAAATGTCAAATTTGACTAACAAAGCGGAATGGATATAAATGATTCATGTAAGTATATAACCAACCAAACTGTTCTAGGATTGAGACGTAGTAGATTGACTGATATATATACCCCCTCCTTTCCAATTTATGTGATGCTGTTTGACTGGACATAGAGTTTAAGGAAAAAAAAATAAAAACACTTTTGAAACTTGTGGTTTAAAACAAACCATAGATATTTGTGTAACTGATTATCTCATTAAGTAAAATATGAAGTTTAAGTTATATTGTTTCCAAATATAGAAATGTGCCATTCTTTTTGGGACAATCTAAAAAAGGAAATCCCATCATATAAATTGGGAGAGAGGGAGTACTCTATACGAAAGTTTAAATTACTATATTTCTGAACTTTTTGGTATTGGATATATGTTAATTGTACAGTTTTCACTGCTGGTTGTAATCAGATGGAAAACGGAGAGGGGACTAAGGAGCACTTAACTTCCGCGGTGTCCTCTCCTTTTGTTCCACTGGGAAATGAGTTCTCATGGCAAAGTCAGAAATCGGAGGATGGTGATGACATAACTGAGTACTCGTCATGTGATGCTGAGTCGGAATTCGAGAGATACTGCAGTGCTAACTCGGCCATGGGCACTCCAACTGTTGGAGGTTCAGTTGTGACTGCATTTCATGAGTTTCCTGGAAGCTTCAAATTAGGGGATGACAGTTATAGAGTAAAAGGTTTTAGGGGTTGTAAGAAGTTATCAGATTTTAGTGGGGTGGGTCCTTCTACTAGAGGAAGTGAATATAGTGGTGGAAAGGGTAGTGCACGAGAGGAGGGGTTGGTGGGTATCGGAAAGGGATTAGATTTGTATGGTAATGCAGTATTCATGGATGAGGAAACGTTTTTACAAAACATGGATATGGGTGACGAATGGTACGTCAAGGATGACGAAATGCCAAACATGAGGAGTGACGATGGTACTAAGTTATGCTTTAACAGAAGTTCTTGTACATCTGACGAATATAAGAACGGCGTACTCATTGAAGGAGACACTGAAGCTTCGGGAGTTGGTAATAACACATTGGAAATTGAAGCAGAATTTCAGAGGGATATTGAAGCTGTAGATGGGAGCTTGGAGGTGTCAAGTCCGCAACCTGGTACAGCAACTGGTGGAGCTGAGTGTTTGGATGAAAGTGACGCCTCCTCAAGATATGAGTATTCAGAAGGCGAGGATTCAATGTTCGGAGGTAATACAGATGATGAGAAGAATGATTCATATTTCAGGAAAGAAGTAAAACACTCACATCAAGAACATGACAAGAATGAATATAAGCTCGTTATGGGTTCTGCAGTAGCCTTTGGTTCAAATGATTGGGATGATTTCATGCAAGAAAATGGAGAATTTACTCCGACTTTAATGGTGCACAATGAACTTCAAGCTGAAAACCAACCAAGTATTGAAAGTGAAAATGGATGTTTGAGTTCTGCTTCAACTGTCAATGCTGAGTTTTCAAGTGTAGGTTTAACAATGCCTAAAGAAAAGGAGAAAGGTACTCTTCTGCCCAGTTATCATGGCCAAGGTGGTAATGAATCAACTGAGCACACCACTACTTATAATTTGGATCCTTTGAGTCTTCTGAACCAGGGGAAAGGAGAGAACGCTGAAGGTGAGAAACCGATGCTTGTTAAGAACAATGAAACAAGAAAAGTCAATGAATCAGCGGAGTTCCATGACAAGTCTTCTGTTCATAATATGTTGCAAGTGGACCATAATCCGCAAAGACAACGAGGAGAAGCCTCTTTTATAGAGGGTGCTAAACTTAAGGAGGAAGTATTGGAACCGACAGATCAATGTGCATGTAATGAGGAAGTTATTCACATTACTGATGATCTTGTTTCTAGAAAAGCTGCGCCTGAGAACTTAAGATTATTCTTGGAACCTCTGTCTCATTCTGCTACAAGCAAAGATTATCTGTCTATGGAGCATTCTGATGATAGAACAGTGGAACTATCAGCAGACAAGAGCTCATCTCCTTCATCAGCATCAGTGGCTAATGATGCTACAAGGACCAAACATGGAACGAGGAATAGTTCGTCCTCCGTCAATTACTTGGAAGACCATCTTACATCAGGCAAGGTATGATTCTTTTCAAGAACTCTATTAGCACTTGTGTCTTCTTTGTTTGCAGTTTGCATCGGATCAATCTCTGCATTGTTATTATAGTTTCTTCAAATTTTGTCATGCGAATGAAATCGATAAGGAAATGCATGACCAATTTTTTGGATTGATGACATTTTCCTATAGAGTAATACCTCTTCAGAGGTGGAAAAGTCCAGGTATACAAGTGGCACACAACAAGTGGAGAACCTACACAAAAACATGATTCTATACAAAAGCCATTTTTAGATTGCTAATGTAAATGCATAGGATGAGGTTGTCAAATGGAGATATAATGTTATATGATCTATGGGAAGCTAAGCTTATGATACAAACTGCATACTGATTGTTAAGAGCCATGCATATCTGTTGTTACATGAGATATAAAAATTTGCAACATTTGCATGTTTCCATTTTTAGTTACATAGCTTGTTAAAGAGTGATAGCTAATTGGTGACCCATTTTTCAATGCTTGCTATGAGTAATTGCTTCACAATGACATATATGTATTGCATATCCATACACTAGGTTAAGGCTTTTACCTGTTTTTTCCTTTTGTGATGGATCATGCTGGTAGGAGGAGTCTAGAATCTACTTAAATTTGAAAATCTTTCAGCAAAATTTCAATGAAAATCCTTAAAATTGAAAGCATTAGGGTGCTTAGGCAGAGTTATCTTGTTGCTGTAAGGTGGCTGCTTTATCATGGAATATATGTTGCTTAAACTTCTGTTTTCCCAACACAAAAATTATTGTTTAAATGAATATTTGACATTACTGCCAAATTATATGCACGTTTAACAACTTAGTTATCTTGGATATCACTTCATCCAGGAGGCTTTTTAAAAACCATACGTATTTAAATGAACTTATGTCAATCTTTTCATTAACTGAGCATGGCGGTGCCTGTGGATGTTCTTATCCGTTTGCTGATAACAAGCAGTGGTATATGTAAGCACTAAGGGGTTGTTTGGTACACGGTCTAAATTATCCCGGGATTATAATCCCTAGACTAATTTATCCCACCTGAGAGGTGGGATAAAGTAATACCAAGTTTGATGGGATAAGGTGGTATAAGATGAGATATCCAGGATTAAGTTTGGGACTAAGTGGGCGTTTGGACTTACGAATTGTAAAATTCCAAAAAAAAGTGAAAAAAAATTTCAAGTGAAAATGATATTTGAAAATTAGAGTTGTGTTTGGATATGAATATAATTTTGGGTTGTTTTTGAAGTTTTGTGAGTAATCTGAGTAAAAATTTTGAAAAACGGTTTTTTGGAGTTTTTCAAAATTTCGAAAAATTCTAAAATGCATTTTCAAGTGAAAATTGGAAATTTTATGAACAAACGTTGTTTTCGGAAAAAAGTGAAATTTTTTTGAAAGAAAGGGAAAAATTTCTTATGTCCAAACGGGCTCTAAGTTTATACCATGTTTGGTTGACGGTATAATTTTATCCCGGGATAAATTTATACCATCAACCAAACATGGTATAAATTTAGTAGCATACTTTATCCCATTTTGTCCCACCTTATCCCGCGTACCAAACGACCCCTAAACACTTAAATTTAATTGAATTTTTTAGGTCCAATTATATATCCAGATTAAAGTTGAATCCAACTTCATATGGGTTTAACAATTAATTTGGACGTTACAAGTTAAATAAGTCCATTTTATTAGTTACAAGATCAACTTCATCTTGAGGCCCAAACTTATGTTGTATGTCTAATAACATGACATGCCGGGTCAAATCCAAAGGCAATGAGATAATGCCATGTATTCTAATGATGTGGCATGCCAAGTCAAAATAAGGACCAATCAAAGCTGGCACGTGTCAAAATGATATTTCTTGGCTAATCAAATACAATCTTATCACTTAGCTTTTGTGATAGGCTTGATGACTCACATGAGTCAATCAAAATCATTCGGGTGAGTTCATTTACAGTTGGACTGCCTATCCTCTACAACATCAAATAGGGGGTCACATATTTCTCCGATGATTCAGAATTGGATAAGAGGTCATTTGGAATGTCACAAAAGACCATTCACAAGTGGAGATTAAGACATTAAATACATAACTCTTTAATAAGAGAGAAGTACTCAACGGAGTTCTTCCTCGAGATAAATCTAGAGTTTCAAAGGTTGTCTGGCATTCTTGGATATCAAAGACATCACGAGGAGGTCTACGTCATTTTTTACTCAAAAAATACGCTGCTCTAACCCTTGAATCAAAGAAAAAATTTAGGAAGAATTAAGTGAATACATATAATTGCGTTCACAAAGATCTATTAGTAAAATCTTTTCTTTTCTTTTTTATGTCTTTTCGTGATTGCAGTATGTTTTGCATACTCGAAATTTGTCGCGAATATCCAATTATATGTTGTCTCAGGTTCAAGATCAGTAAGCTAATCGAAGGCATTCCCTTTCAGCGTACAAGCAAACTGCTCAACTAACATATCATCATGAGTTCCAACTTTGCTACAAGTCTTGACAAAGTGGGTAATATTTGTCATCAAACAACAACTTAGTGCTAGTGCTAATCCCTTTCTTAGCTCTCCCGTGTGGGAAGGTTTAGTATACAATTTTTGTTTTCTTGATCGACCCATTGGATGCCCTTTCAAAGTCCAAAAGATCGATTCATCATTGAGATACCACTTTGGAAGGGCTAGAATTCTAACCTTGTGTCAAGACCTATGAGCCAAGGGATAGGACAGAGATTGGCCCTCTTTGCAGCTTTAATGGTTGATAGCTAATCTATATTGGTAGACAATTGATCAGTTTAGCCTATGGTTTGGAATAATACAACGAACTTTGTAACGTTCCACCATACTGCGTCGTGATGGTATTCGTGATCTTGTAGTTGTTGGACCGTCGGTCAATGTGGCCACTGAAGCAGATTGTTTTGCATTTAAAGCGTTAGACGTCTTGGTGGAGATTCAACAACCTCTGCTTGCTGTGTCGAGTTGTCACTTGACTCTCTAGGATTATAGAGCTTATCTTGCTATAAATTCGGCAATTGAATATTTATGTCTTCAACCAATTTCTCAAGGCTTCGATAGTTTGTTCCATCACGTCAAGCTTTTCATCCATGTTGGTTTCATCAATATCAGGGTGTTGACCTTTGTTGATGCAGATGAATTTGCCGAATCCTCGAACTCGTCAAGGTTGGAGCTAATTTGAGAGACTCTATCAGATGGAGAGAACATGGTGTTACCCCCCAAAAGTTGTAGTTGTAGCCTTGAGCATGTTCGAGTTATCAGAACGAGTGCGATCATGTTTAGCTGATGCAACATAGTAAATGTTGTTGAAGCAGTACTGTTGTTCTTTCTAAAGGCTACAGTTGATCTTTGAAGTTTGCAGGCTTCGGTTTGCAAGATGGAGAGATGAAGGGCAAAGCTTGTCCTATCGAGCGTGCGATAAAGTTGTTCGCAAAAAATTCGAGTTTACAAAAATAAATTGCAATCATGAGACAAATATAAAAACAAAAGAAAAGATTTTATTATTATATCTTTGCGAGTAAAATTCAGTTATTCTTGTGATTTTTCTCTTCAAAGTTTTGTCGTGATTTGAGGGTTGGATCAACGTGTTTTTTGAACAAAGGATGATGTGAACTTCATCGTGATGTATATGATCTTCAAGAAAGTCAAGCAGCACTTTGATACTCTGGGTTAATCTTGAGGAAGAGCTCTGTTGATCTTTTGTGAACTTCTGAATGACCTCTTCTCCAACTTTGAATCACCCAGAGAGAGAGATATGTAATCCCCTACTTATAGTTGTAGGGGGTAAAGCGATCCAATTGTAAATGAATTCTCCCTAATGATATTGATTGGCTCATATGAGTCATCAAGCCTATCATAAAAGTTATATGATAAGATTGTGTTTGATTGGCCAAGATATGTCATTTTACACTTTGTTGCCTTTGGTTGGTCCTTATTTTGACTTGGCATGCCACGTCATTTAAACACAAAGCATTATCTCGGCATTCCCATGTCACTGGACGCATGGCATGAGTTTGGGCCTCAAGATCAGGTGGATCTCGGGCTTAAAACTAATAAAATGGACTTGTTTAACTTGTAAAGTCCAAATTAATAATTTAATCCAAATGACGTTGGATTCAACTTAAATCTACATGTATAATTGGACCTATAAAATCCAATTAAATTTTAAGTGCTTACAATATACGAATGATAAAAAAAGATATGCATAATCATGCAATGACATATATATGTACAACAAGGACATGTTTACATCTTTAGATGTTTCCTTTTTGTTGCAATTGTGAAATTTGATTGATTTGTGAGGAGTGGTTGATTGATTGGCAATTGTGCAGTTTGGTTCAATATGAAATGGATCTTTGGTCTGCTAATTGAGGAGAACAAAGGTGGAGTAGGTGGTTGGGGGGGGGGGTGTTTGCTATTTGATGATGAAGAACAAACAAAAAATAAAATGATTAAATCGCAGCAATTAGTGAGAGGCTTCTTAAGAAAACAAAAGTAAGAAGAATTCACTTTGTAAGGGAGATGATCATAAATAATAGTAATATTTACTATGAAGTTGGAAAAATTTGTGATAACTAGATTAATGCTTATCGGTTTTGTAGTACCTACCCTATACATGTTAAGTGGATTGGGCTGGACCCAATCTGGTACATTAAGTGAAGAGCCTGTGGGCTGCGTTTGGGGCCAACCCCTAATGGGATAGTTAAAATTTGAGAAGGGGTGAGACAGATCCAGCCCTTGGATCTTGATCTCTCAAACTTAAGTGAAATTTGAGCTTGGAGCTTGATGTCTCGTACTTCAAGCACTAATCAATAGCTTGAGAATCAATAGTTGAGAGCTTTGATAGATTAAAAAGAGAGGAGAGAATTTAGAGTTGAAGGCTGAAGAATAAAGTTGGGGATGAAAGGTATTTATAGTTGAGAGATTTTAGGGCCCAAACAGTAATACTCTAAGTCAAAAAAGGGGGAGGGGGGCAAAATAGTTGTTGGCTTATGGGCAAAAAGGACCAAAGAAATGCCATTGAACAATGGCCGGAAACAGCTAAAAAACACTGATCAAGAATTCAAGATTTTTAAATAGGGATTGGGCTGGGCCAGTCAGCCCAGGGCTCGTATTGAGCCGGTCCAACTTCCCGCAAGCCCTCTACGGACCCCTTAATTTCCCCTGCGGGGCCTAGGCTCAATTGACCGGGCCCGGCCAGGTAAAAAATGGGCTGACTCAACCCACTTGTCACGTCTAACCTCTACCTTGGAACAACCCAAAAAGTTTAAGTGGAGAAGTCCTCAATTTCTTCCTCCTTTTTACAAAACTTTTTCCTTGGAACACGTTCTGATTCATATTCTACAGCAAATTGACTTTAGGTGATTTTTTGCTTTTGTAAAACCATTTGTTTGGCTAGCCAAGGTCCTTCATGTTGATAGTTATATTTTGCAGGAACATGTGAAATAAGTAGTATTTCGTTTGTGCATGTATTTTCTGATTTCTGGTTTATAGGCGGCTGCCTTTTCTTTTCATATTGGGTTATTTATTATACTCTCTTGCTTTTGTTAATTTTTTCTAAAGTCCTGTATACAAGGTTCCTTGTCTTGATGCTGCACTTTATCGTCCTTATGCAGACACACAACCTTGAGTTGAACGAGTTCTATAATGAGGTTGTTCATGATATGGAAGAAATATTGCTAGACTCTAGCGAATCTCCTGGGTTTGCTCTTGGAAACAAGATACATCATTCTTATATACCTCTTCCTTCTAGAGATGGTGGTTCTACTGCTTCGACTTCTGTTACATTTGATGTTAGTCCTGATACTCAACGCCCTGTGAGATTTGATAGAGTGGAGGTCGTTGGTGCAAGACAGAAGACAGGGGATGTTTCACTTAGTGAGCGGTTAGTTGGAGTGAAGAAATACACCGTTTATAGAATAAAAGTGTGGAGTGGTGAGGATTATTGGGAGGTTGAGAGGCGGTATCGTGATTTTTGTGCCCTCTATCATCAGTTGAAGAAGTCATTTGCAGATCAAGGCTGGATTCTCCCACCTGTCTGGTCTGCCACTGAACGAGAATCACGAAAGATTTTTGGTAGTGCTTCACCTAATGTTGTTGCTGACCGAAGTGTTCTCATTCAAGAGTGTTTACACTCACTTCTCCATGACAAGTTTCGTTCAGGTCCCCTCAATGCTCTGATTTGTTTCTTGTCCCCGTCAAAGGATGTTCCTAATTCTCCCACTTCTGATACAAACATACCTCAGTCTCCATATTCTTCAAGAAGCACAAGCAGAGGGGATGTTTCCAGCTTGGGGAAAAAAATATCCCTAATTGTTCATAAAAGGCCTCTCAAATCAAAGAAACAGCTGCTAGATGAGCAACATTATTCTTGTGCTGGTTGCTACAAAAGTTTTGATGATGGAAAGACTCGGATACAGGAACTTGCACAGACACTGGGCTGGGGCAAGCCTCGTCTTTGTGAATACAGTGGCCAGTTGTTCTGCTCTTCATGCCACACAAATGATATGGCTGTCTTGCCTGCAAGAGTTCTACATTGTTGGGATTTTAATCAATACCCAGTTTCTCAGCTGGCTAAGTCTTATCTGGACTCTATATATGACCAGGTAATGAGAAAATCATGCTGAAAAGACTTGCCAAACTTTTATGCTTCCAGAAACTTCCTCATCTTTAATACCAATCTACTTTCAACCATTTCTCGCCCAAAGACTTAAACTAGAATGCATTGCAATTATCATTCCTAATATTATTAAGTAGGCATTTGGCTGGTTAGTAATGCATAGAGTTGTTCCTTCTAATTGAGAAGAGGCAGTAAGTTCCAGTGGTGAAAGTCTTTTAGTTTTGTGGTCTTCCATCTGGGTTGTATCATCCTGCCCCCTCCTACTTCTCTGTATGCATATCATTGTATGAACGGATGAAGTGGAAGATACATTAGCAATACATTGCCAACCTATGTTAAGAATTAGATACGACTTATAGTTCATTCTTCTACTCTTGCAGCCAATGCTTTGTGTCAGTGCAGTCAACCCCATGCTGTTCTCGAGAGTCCCAGCACTGCAGCATGTCACAAATATCAGAAAAAGAATAGAAAAAATCCTTCCGTTTGTTCGTTGCCCGTTTCGGAGTTCCATCTACAAAGGGGTTGGCTCTCGAAGATATATTCTTGAAGGCAATGACTTCTTTGCCCTCAGAGATCTTATTGATCTCTCCAAAGGAGTCTTTGCAGGTTAGTTTGTTAAATACAAATTTATACTCATGAAGGATGGTTTTANGGAAGTGATATCAATCCCCTACTTTAGCATGCATCCTTCTTGGTACCTTTTTATGGTTTTAGTCTCTGCTGCTTTCCGTGATGCATCCTGATTGTCAGAATTGGGGAAAAAAGGATCCAAGAAAAGAAGAGTGGGTTAATGTCATTCTCCATAATATAGACAGCCTTTTTCTTTATGTGATTACATTTTGAGCAAACTGTCTTATCTTTTTGGTGTTTTTGTTTTGGCTACAATTTCCAAAGCAGCATTACCAGTGATGGTCGATACTGTCTTGAGAAAGATTGTGGAGCATATAACCGACCAGTGCCTAATATGTTATGACGTGGGAATCCCCTGCACTGCTCGGCAAGACTGTGATGATCCCTCCTCTCTCATTTTCCCTTTCCAGGTAGGCATGTCTTAGAGGGTGTTTGGCTAAGCTTATAAGCTGGTCAAACTGGCTTATAAGCACCTTTTGGCTTATCTACGCGTTTGGTAAACACTCAAAGTGCTTATAAGCACTTTGCTTATAAGCTAAAATCAGCCATAAGTCATAAGCCGGTCACCCCCAACTTATGGCTTTTCAACTTATAAGCACTTTTAGTTTGACCAACACTTTTACTAGTTTATCCTTAATAATATTTTCTAATTCACAAAATACTTTTCCCAAAATAAATCTCTTAACTTTCTCTTCATTCCATATTCGTTATTAATTCTTTTCTTTACAAAGAAATTTTTAATTTATAATCTTTTGAAAAAGATTCAAGGGTATTTTAGTCATTTTAACAAAAGATAGCTTATCAGCATTTTTTAATCAAACACATCAACTGCTTATTATCAGTTTAAGCACTTCTATTTTAACACGTAAATGCTTATTTTTAAAATCAGTTTCAGCATTTAAAAAAACTTTTCAGCACTACAAGTTTATCAGCTATTTACAATCAGCTAATCCAAACGGGCTCTTAGTCTTAAGTTCCTCAGTTATTAAACCTTCTTTCTGAGGTTCAGATGTTATGTATCTTATGTACTACCTGCGTATGTAGGAAGATTTTAAGTACATTAGTTACCATGACTTCTTACCCAGTCTGCCAAAAATGTTGCTAAAGTAGTGTTGACCTCAAGTTTAAAATTATATTCGTGAACATGATGAAATTGTTAACTTAAACCTTACTTGCATAAGAAAAGGTCAATCCTGCAAACGATATTAGAAAGTAATGCATGCCATTGTCAGAATGGGTCATAAAATACTGCTGATTGACATATTTATCTTTTGACCAGGAAGGAGAGATTGAAAGATGCAAATCTTGTGACTCAGTTTTCCATAAGCATTGTTTTAAGAGGATATCATCTTGCCCATGTGGCACTCGGTTGAAGCCGGAGCAGGAAGGCAATGCAACTAAGGGCAGCCAGAACATGGGCAACTGGGGAATTCTCTCCTTGGACTTGCTGAGAAAGAGGGCAGACCTCAGTAAGGGGCTCGTCACGGGATTTTTAGGGAAGGTAAGGTCACTCAAGTCTAGCAGGAATGAAGACGAGGAGCATGAAGACAATAATGCCATTATCTTAATGGATTCATTGCCAATGACCACCCTCTGAAGGGCTGTACATACAGAGTCTTCTCTTTTAGCTTTTGAAACTACTGTGATTAGAAGCTTGTACTTTAATGGAGGCCTATTTGGTCTTGTCCTCCCACCAACTTGTATTCTTTGTGAGTGCGCAATGGTGATTCTTTTAATATCTCACAATAATCGTCCATTATATCCAGTCAGTCAGTTGTAAATGAAATATACATGATATTTGCTTGTAAGTTCAGAAGATACATTTGTATTCATTTGAAGCCTGACGGTCACTACTTGACATGGTTCATTGGATTTATTATTTGTTCCTATCTGGGTTTAGGTTATCCTACTACTCAATTTTAGTTAAGACTCCATCACCGAATCCATTTGATTCTGACAAGGGGATGGCAGTTCTCCCGTTGCTACAGTTAAAGAAGTTTTTTTGGATATGAAACTGCACTTTCATTTAGTTCTTTGCAATTGGAGAAAGGATGGAAATCTTAGAACTGCATGTTACATTGAAGTCCAATGTAACATAAGCAGATGCAGATGCACAGATGCAACCACTACCTTACGCATAACTGCATATATACCAAACGTACGACGATTCTTTTGAGAGTTTGATGCAGCCAAGGGTAATAAAGCAGCAATAACTTAACTTGCAGTGCTTGAATGTCCATAAGGAAACTGCAATCATACTAAAATAGGAAATTAAAACAAAAGCAATTATAACGTAGACCCGACATACAAGAGCTGATGCAACCAAGGGTAATAAAGCAGCAAAACTGGCTTCCAACAGCTTGAACATCAATAAGGGAACAAGAATCATACTAAATAGAAACTTGAAAAGTACAACTTTGATCTCCTGATCAAAATGTAATTAGCACAACATAGTATTTAACTTCAATCTTAGAAAACAAAAGCTCTTGAACTACACGAAGAAAGCAAAAAAAAAAAAAAAAAAAAAAAAAAAAAAAAAAACAAAAAACAAAATCTAAAAACGTATAACAGAAAACTATCAAAGTTTGCATCACAGGCAATTTAGAAAAGAGAGGTTCCCTTTCCTTTCTTGTCCCCACCAATCTCAAAATGCTTGCACCTCTGCACAACCAAGGACAAGAGTTTAACTTGTAAAATAACAGGAACAAAGCTATTGTTAAGGAAATTATAGAAGCAGAGATCATCATTTAACATACCTTGATTGGGTGCTGAGAGACATGCTTGCACCCCTGGCATTGCAACCTTAAGACAATCTTCTTTGTAGTTTTTGCCTGGTTTGGAATGGCAGAAGAAACGGGAGGCAGATAAGTGACACTACAAAGTAGCTTAGAATGTTTAACACCACTACTAGTGCATAAATCATTAAGCTTCTTCTTGTTACTCTTATTTTATCAAATCACCAAAAAAAATTACAATATGGCTATTAAAAAGATATTAGAAGGGCTATGAAAGAGTTTGTTCATCACGAAACCTAAAAATGCTTCTCACCTTTTTGTGGAAGACGGGCTTTGTCTGTCCACCATAACCTGACTGCTTGCGATCATAACGACGCTTTCCCTGGGCAGCTAGGCTATCTTTTCCTTTCTTGTATTGTGTGACCTTATGCAAGGTGTGCTTTTTGCACTCCTTGGATTTGCAGTAGGTCTTCTTTGTCTTAGGCACGTTCACCTGCAAGAGCCGGAATCAAAACCAAGTTAAACAAGCCTGTTCGTCTTCGTGTATGAAACCGATGCTCATCATTTGAATAAGTGGTTATTGAATAAATAATTTAAAATCAATCATATCATGAGAATGACAAACTCTAATTATGGTTAACACCATTATTTGGTTAAAGGCTGATTAAATTAAGTAAAACTCCAAATCAAATCATCGCTAAAACTATATATAAAAAAACATAACTAGCTTCCAAGGGAAGAGAATAGGGCATGCAAGAAAAAGATGACAAGTCAAATAGCAGGCATGTTTCACAAGAAAACAGTTATAACAAGCAGAAGGGCTGCTCTCTCATCTCTTTCAGTGCTCTGCAAGTGGTAAGATTTATCAATAATATCACCCTCAACTTATAAACCGTGCCTCTATAAAATTCAAAACTGTGCATATGCTCTTTCCCTAAGCTCTCTTGTAAATTGTGCTCTTAATTCAACATCTCAATCCACTTTCAAAGCCTCCTTACCAATAACTGCAGCACAACAGGCGCCCCACCCACTAGCTTACTTGTTCTGAAGCAGCTCAACTAGTACTAAAGGTGTACAAGGGCTTCACTACCCTCCATCCAGTACAATCCCAATTATGATACGTGCGTAAAAGGAATGGATGAATCTAGGGGTGAGGGGATCAATTTGAACTTGACAGGAGTTCCCAAGAAGAGCAATTGCAACGACAAAATAATAAGGGATACTTAAAGTTAATTTGTGATTGTCCAAACTCTTCAACCAAGGTTAAGATGTCATGGAAGGTCAAGAAGTATGTCTGAACATATTTTTTATAATCAAGAAATCTCTGAGAGCCCATGGCATATGGTTCGAAACTCGACGGATAATGTACTCCCCCTCTACCCTTCTCTACTTAAATTCCAGGCTTTTGTAAGGATTCAAACCAGTGATGTGCGTCTAACCCACACATCACAAGTTGCGGTCTTACCACTAAACCAAAGCACTATGAAGCAAGCATGCTTGAACATTTATGAATAATGGAACAAGTCAACCTACTTTAATTTTGTTGTTGAAAATATCAATATAATTGCACAATATTCTAGAGGGCTCAAAATCAGTTCTAAAGTTGCAACATCAACTCATTTCATTTCCCCTCAAAATAAATTTTGTTCCCACCTTAAATCCCGATGGAGGAAAAAAATACTAGGTGATTTCTTACTATCTGCCGTTAGAGTTACTCGATACCTGTGATAGTGGGAGGCAGCAGGTAGCGGGTACCAGGTAAAATGGTTAACGTGTGCGCAAGCTGGCCTGAACATGACTGTCATAAAAAATTACAATTTGTTCCTACCCATATCCAACAAACTTCCACTGCTAATAGATTTAAGTAAAACCATACACATCAAACAGCATAAAATTTTTAGACTACTTATTAGAATTCGTTCATACAAAGAGAGATAAAAGGTGCACAGCTACTAATGAAAACAGCCCTCAAATTGAAGTTTCATTCCGATATATATCCAGACAGTTTTTAAGTAAATGCTACTGTAATTAAATATACACTCATTCATCAAATTACAAAAAATAATCATTTCCTTTCCTAGTGAACGAAGCGTGATGAATTCGAGTAAGAGGGAGCATGAGAGTTACCATTATCGCGGGCCGAGGATTAGATTTATAGCCGTTCAGCAGTTACAGCGGCAAAGACCTTGGCTTAAGGATGAAATTGCGCTTTATACAGCCGGCGCAGTCTACTTGGCGAGTGGAATTTGTAGGCCGGCCCAAGAGTTGGTGTTAATGTGATCATGACCATTGGGCCTGCCTAATTGTGCCGGGTCGTTTGGTGTGGAAATGGCATAGGGTGGCCACTTTTTAAGGTGCTATTTAGTGTTTAGCCACCAATTTTATTACCGAGCAAAACGAGCCACTACTCTATTATAATTAATACGAAAAGATGTTTTTACCCTTTCTTCATGTCTTTTCTTTTCCAAACTTTTTTCATTATCAAAAGTTCAAAACCCTCGTTTCTCTCCAGAACTCAATCTCTCGTTACTTCCCTACAGACAGTAGGGAATTTCTCCAAAATTTCGCATGGGTTTTCATCAAATTTCATCGTTGCAGCAATAATTTCAGTTGCAGAGTAAGTTCAGGATAATCTCTACTTTTTTTCAGATCCTAATATTCACTATTTTCTCCATTTTCTAGGTATTTTTTCAGATCCTAATATTTAACTTTTTCTAAAATCAACTGCATCTAGACTCTGTAAGTTTATTTATGTTTGCTTCATTTTACTTAGACGGATGATTACACTTTTTTATATTAGCGGAAACTTGAAGAACACTTGTTTCAAGTTTGAAGAACTTCTCGGACTCATTAATCGATTCGAGCAGCTAAGAAATCGTCGCAGTGAATCAGGTTTGATTCTTTGAGTATTAAGCTCAACTTCTGCTCGATCGACTTCCTTATTTGTAGAACTAAAATTGTTGTCAAAGAAAACTAGTCACTATGGAATATAGTTTATACTTTATAGTATATGTGGGCACAAAATCCAGTCTCGTTGCCATATCCTTTTTCATATTTTCATGCCTATGTGGTGTCTGTTTAGATTTCGGGTTTGTAGGTCAGTATCGTGTGAGATTATTACATTATATGTTACCTTGGGGCGGATCCAGGGGACGGAAAGGGGTTCACGAAATTCCTTCACTAAGAAGTTAAACTATTTATAAGGTTTTATATATATATATATATATATATATATATGATGCGAGGGGGTGTTAACGCTAGGTTGAAAGTTTGGAGACAGACACTGGAGTAAAGGTTTCAAGTTGAGTAGGTCGAAAACTGAATACTTGGAGTGCAAGTTCAGTGATGAGAGGCATGACGAATAAGTGAAAGTAAAGATTGATACTCAAGTCATACCCACAAGAGATAGTTTCGAGTATCTTGGGTCTATAATCCAAAGCAACGAGGAGGTTGATGAGGATGTTACTCACCGCATTGGAGCGGGTTGGATGAGATGGACGCTAGCTTCGGGGGTTTTATGCGATAAGAATGTGCCCCCTAGACTTAAGGGCAAGTTCTACAGGGTGGTGGTTAGACCGGCTATGTTTATGGAGTTGAGTGTTGGTCCGTCAAGAAGTCCCATGTCCAGAAGCTGAGCGTAGCTGAAATGAGGATGTTGAGATGAATGTGTGGACATACCAGGAAAGACAAGATCATGAGTGAAGTTATTAGGGACAAGGTTGAAGTGGCATCCGTGGAAGCCAAGTTGTGGGAATAAGTTGCCTTTGGCGAGCTTGAGGAAGGGCAGGGGTAGTCCAAAGAAGTATTAGGGAGAGGTGATTAGATAGGACATATCGGTGCTGCACCTAACCGAGGACATGACTAGTGATATGAAGGTGTGGAGGTCGAGGATTAAGGTGGTGGGTTGATATGTAGTTATGAGTTTCTCCTAGTTTGCCAGTAGTACTAGTAATATTCTTGTTGTTGGTTGAAAGTTACTTCCTTCTAGTTTGTTATTATCAACCACGTCCATTATTTTTGAAAATTACTACTGGAAATTATTGCTCCGTGATTGTTACTATTTTATGCTACTCTTTCTCCCCTTTTACTGGAAATTATTACTCCCTGATTATTACTATCAGACGCTACTTTTTTCTCCTCTTTTTCCTTATCGTCTTTTGTCTCCCTCTTCTTTCTCCCCCCCCCCCCCTTT